TCCTGGTGTTCCCTGAAGTCCAAATTTAAGGTGTAGCCTAATAAAACACTTAGAATTTGAACACAATACATGTTGAATTTTTAACAAAAAGGGTTCAATATTACGAAGTATATACTTTAGAAAGTAATTACTTTAACCTTTATGCTAACATCAGGGCTAGACATATACAAGACAGCGACATTTGTTTTACTGGTACTTTTTAAATTTAGTCAAATTAAGTCCATCATCCACATAAAAAACTGGTTTGTTGGTTGGTTTAGGTATGGTTGGTTTAGGATTTTTGTTGTTTTTTTGTTTGTTTTTCACTTGACGACAACATTTTGCAGAGCTTCAGACATCTAAAAACATTTCCGTAACAAGGACACATTACGGGCAGACCAATCAACACAGGAAGCATGTATAAGGTCAATCAAAAAGTTATTGATTTTTAGAGAGGCTATATTAGGTGCAATACAGTAGAAGGCCATAAATTATTAAGTTTAAAGGAAACGTCAGTCTGCCAAGCATTTGCCGGGAATAAGGTATAGACGCAAGTGACTAAATAAGAAGTTTCCGTCATAGTGTGTGAGGTTTATTAAACCTAAGAGAATATCCATATAACCAGATTTTTTCCAGATAAAAAGACTGCATTATTCTGCAAAACCAGAACAATATGTGGTCCAAGAAATGCACATGCTGTATCAATACAACTTTACAGGTACTTGATCCTGGACTCTCATTGAACACAATGGATTAGACCGGACTGGGTTAGCACAACCAAAGCAACATTTTGCAAAGTATTTCACAGCATAACACGCTGCTGTTGAGACTTTTTTTTTGTCACCTTTGAGTTTTCATACATTAGCACAACCACAAACAGAAACTAAAAATATTCGAGACACAAGTCTGATGTCTCTGTACACTTACACATACATGACCCTTCTGGTGTGTGTTACTTATGAGAATTTATGAGAGCCGATAAAAACGCAGCAGCATTCCTGATGTGCTCTTGCCTTACACGTTTCATCCCTTCTTGCAGTTTTTGGGTAATGCAGAGTTTAGAAATGAAAGAACTGGGTCAATGCTGTTTTATTTTTCCTACGCTGTCTGGACACCATGATAGGGAATAACACTCACTTCACTGTCTGAATATTTCTAATATTCTGCAAAGCCCCCCACTTCCCTGAGGAACTCTTGGGTTGCATCAGAAACAAAAAATTATTAAAGAAATATTTATATTTTTACATTCTGTTTAATGTGAACATTGTTAAATGTTTGTATCTTTATGACCTTATTTGGTAACTGTCCAAACACGTCACAGCTGGATTGTATAGGTCACTGGAAACTTGCTTTATGAGCCAAGTTTCAAAATATACCCGTGCGTCTAGGAATAAAAACCAGAGCTTCACAAAGAGCCATTCTTTCTATTAACTGCGTTATCAACCAAATTTTCCATCTCTGGGACTGATACAATCTTATAAAAACAGGTATCTGTTTCTTGTTTGGTTGGATTTTTTGTTGTTTTTCCAGGGAGCAGAACCAGTGTCATCAGGCAGAGATGTGATATATGCAACATCTGTGAAATGACTTGTAACCGTGCCCACAACACTATGAAGCAGCTAATAATAATAAACTGTATTTAAAAAAGGGACAACACAACTAAAACATAAATATTAGTATTTGATGCACTGTACCAGATTCAGGTTTTTTTTAACATGACAGACAATAAGATTCCTTAATTCAAAATGTCTAAAGTAGCACATGATTTTTCCCCTTTTGCAAACTTTTTCTAAACATTACGGCCTATTACTGTCAGACCATCATGGGAAAGCACATTTATGTATAAAGGGACTGTGAAATGGAGATTAAGGCAGCCTTCATTCAAATAGTTTGGTGTTTGGAAGAAAAGCTCAGTTTTTAATTTAGTTTTTTATTTCTGCTTCTTCCTGTGTCTTCTATGCCAACTTTCAACTTCCACTGCGATGGCATTTATTTTATGTTTTTTTTTTATAAAATGCACAACTGAGATTTTGAAGTAAAATAATGAGCTCATACAGATTATACACCCAGAGTTTTACGATTTTTAACATGCATTGAAATTATAAATCACAACCTGCCATGTTTTATTTTGTTTTTCCTCATTTAGCAAGTAGGTTATTAGTGACCCAACTAATCTACTCGAGATGTGCCGATCGATCGGCCACCAATCATAATCGGCCGATTTCTTTGAAAAAGTGTATGATCGGTGATCTCTGTCTCTTGCTGCCAATCACCAAAACCGATCACATTTATCTCACTTCGCAGCTCATCTCCCTTTCCCTTCACGCTGTGCAGCAACAAACCTTGTCGTGTGGAACTTTAACGCTCTGAGTAAATGGGAAAGTTTGTGTGTTGCGGCGGGAAATTACCTTGGGGGTAAAGCACCTCAAAATGCATCAACACAACAAATATAACATGCATTAAAAAAAAAAAAAACACTTGACGGAGTTTGGCTACATCAAGGCTCAATGTAGGAGAACATCCGGAGGGGATAGATAGCAGGTAAAGCAGCCCACTACTACCAACACTCACCAGGATTAGCATCACGGTCAGAAAGCTAAACAAATAACCCGAAAAATAATTCAGGTCTTCGAGCTGGCGGGCAAAGACGCTGGTTCAGCTCTCGCTACTGGTAGTAATATTTCACAGACGTAGCGCCGCTCAACCTCCACCTGCAGTGAACTCTCACACCAAATGTCAACTTAAAGCTGCAGAATGTAACTTAAAAAAAAAAAAGATTTTAGATATATAATAAAATATGACTATTATGTCTAAATTAGATCAATTTATTGCCAGATAATTTTTCCATTTTGCCAGATAACATGGTATCATTTCTACCAAAAGTGAAAAATTAACAGCCATTCCAATGATCAGTGATCGGCAGAGATCGGCCTCATGGATGATCGGTATCGGAATCGGCAGCAAAAAACCTGATCGGAGCATCCCTAGAATTTAGTTTTCAAATCCCATAAACAGCAGATTACACAAAACTTAGTACTTATAATTGGCAACTAAACATATTATTTTGAAATAATTTTGAGGAAAACGCTACTCTGATGCTACTCTCTCTGACGATCTTGTAGAGATCAGCAGAGAGACCTACATAAATCTTAATAGGAACTTCTCTGGTTTAACACACAAGAGAAGTTATGATCAGGGTTTCCCCAGAGTGTGACTAATTTGGAGATTTTAATACATAAACAAAAGTCACACAGTGCTCCTCAGTGCAGCCCAGAAAAAGTTCATTCATCCTTATAGATCTTTGCTAAATGTGGACATGCATCAGTCTAGTGTGTGTTTATCTGTAAAGACGTCTGCCCCTCATTAATCATTGACCAGGCAGAAAGTGATCTTCAGGCGTTGTACCTAATGCAGCGCGTCACATTGCATGGGTTTTATTCTTATCACCATTTAACTCAAATATGTGCAGCTCAGTAAGCAAGTGTCAACATTTCAAGGCGAGCTGAGGAAGAACCTGTTCTGAATCGATTCCTCAACAGCGCTGGAATGGTAATTATGTTCAAGCGTAAACATGACACAATAAAACGTCAATCCTATGACGTTTAACTCACATATACCTACTCTAACACCAGGTTAGTAATCAGAGCTAGTCATGGCACGTTTTCATCACATTTCAGCAGGATGCAGTTGCTGACGCTTGTCGATGATGTGATTTAAAAAAAAATGCATTTAGACCTGTAGCGTAGAAATGAGTCAGTAAATAAGCTAGTGGAACTCCAATTCTTTTCCAAATTAGTGAAAATACTATAAACAAGCATCACTAACACCAACACTTCAGTTACCCAATGCCAAGCGTTTCAGAGCCAGGGAGGCGATTGGAAGTAAAGTCAGGGGAAGTACAAAGATGTGAGAAGATATGTGAAACTGCATCATCACCAGTTCAGTTGGCACAGCAAGGCTACTTTGTGTCATCCTTTTCAGTTTTAAGTTGCTGTGATGGAACACCATTAATTTGTATTAGAAGGGATTCATTTAGGTATCTGAGCAATTCTGGTTGTGTATTTGCAGAGGTCACTGAATAATACTTTGACAACCGTGTCAAAAAACAGGCTGAAAATGTTCACTCGCGCTTGTTTAAAAATATTTGCAAAACTGTTTTACAGTGACTGGAAGCAGCTCCAACAATGTGAGATATATATATATATATATATAAAATGTTCTAACAACATCTTCTTTCTTACATTTAGGGTCTCTAAGTCTTCAGATTCACTCCAGGACACTGATTATTTAATAAAATAAATATATTTTACTTATTTAGTACTGAGCAACTTAAATACAAATGTTATTTAAATGTATACGTTTGTTTTCCAGCTATTAGATGTTCTTTTGCATCTGGGTTTCCTTACTTCAGCACCTTCCTAGTAGAAAGTAAACTTTAGATCACTTTATGTTACTGATGAAAGGTTTGGCCAACTATTGAAAACTACCCTGTGAAATTTAACCATGGTAATGGTTGGTAACAAGAGTGCTTTGGTTTTAATTCAATTTTAAACCAGTAATTGTTCTGCATGTTTATGGGCAAGGCTAAATGCCTGGCGATGAATTTATTTCGACAGCAGCAATTGCTTTTCTGCATCACAGAGCTAGTAGTTTCGTCACAACACAATGACACCCAAATTTCACAACCAGAGTTTCAAATCACTGAAAACAAAATACAGCAGCCAGAGAATGAATGAAGTTATGCATTTAACTCACTGATACATCTATTGGAAGGGCCTCTTGTGGAAAATTAGATATTTTGGGGGCTGGAAATTATTTTTTTAAGGCCTTAGAGAAAAGCAAAAATATTATGGCTCTTATTAAATTAAGTTTGAGACGTTCAACAACACGTATATCCATATCAGTGTTGATAGGTAGAAAAATAGATCTTTGTTTTTATTAATGATTTCACATCAACTAGATCATCTATAATGTCAACTACAGTATTTAACTGGGTGACATATCGGACCACTGTGGCTCACCTTTAACGCATATTTGTCACCGGTCTTCCTCTGGAAGATTTCCACCACCTTGCCATTGATCCCCAGCCCCAGCACCTGGCCGGTGATCTTGTACTCGTCTGTTATGGCGTTCTTCTTGATCTGTAGGTGGGGTCTGGCGTGGAAGTGGCCCGTGGGGTTCTGCTGGCCCGCCGGGTTCGGAAACAGTGGTTGATTCTGAGCGTTAGACAGCATAATGTCCACAGTCTTGTCTGACTGAGCTGGAGGGATAACTTAGCCGTCCCTTCTCGACAATTCCGCGCCGTCGTTCTCCTTTTTTGATCAGAAATTGAGTCTTCCTGAATTCGCTGGCCTCTGACAGACTAAAAACGGTGAAAAAATAAGATCCAAAGTCTAGCAGGGAATAATTCTGATGCTAGGAGTGAGTAAAGACCCTCAGTTAGCCAATAAATGCTAAATTAGACAGTTGTTAGCATGCTAGCTCGAGTCTATTCTGTGATCTATGACTGTCGGCTAACAAGTGAGCTATAGGTTAGCTTATCCATCTCCGGTGGTATCCGCCTTCCACCGGTTCCTCAGAAAAACGCTGGAGGAACTTCTCTAAAACATCCTCTAAGTTAGCTACAATGTTTGGTTTCGCTTTGGACAAATCTCGAAATCTAAAAAATTAAAATAAAGACGACAGAAACCAATGAAGAAAGGACAAATAAACAGAGAAAGTCCGACACCCACTGCTTCGTCAAACACACTTCACTTTTCAGTGGACAGGCAGCCAGCAGGTTTTACTCCTCACGTCATAGCTGTGTGTTTTTTTTTTCGGCGCTTAAAGGAGAAGTACGACAGAGGAAACGACACAATATTTAGAGCCAGCTATCAGGTATTTAAAACCAGCAAAAGTAAAGCGTGTCTTTTTCTACATGTCTTGTTTATGTATCGTGGTATTCTTTGTAAATTGGTCTTTATGTCGTCGCTGTATTGTCTAAAGGAAGAGACCCTCTAACAAAGATAGTACCAACTAGGGGTGGGGGGGACAAAAATAGACGCACTAATCTCTGACCATAGGCCTGCAGGTTACCTCAAGGTTAGGGCTCTTTTCTACCAATCAGACCGCTGTTTCAAAGGAGACAGAAGTCTAGTCATTTACAGGTGCATCTCAAATTGTTGGAATAATTCTGCTAAAAAAGTGAAATGTGTGCACGTTACATATGGACTTCAGTATTTCAACTCTCTGTTTCCCTTAAGCTCAATGATTATGGATCACAAAGCGACAAAAATTTCTCAATGTGAAATGCTCTGCTGTGGTGTACACAATCTGGAGAAAATATTTTCCTGCATTCTTTGGCCCTTAATTACATACCAATCATAAAATCGGACCCTGACACCTCCCGGAACCAGATTTGGGTTTGTTGTCTCAGGACAACATTGCGCTACAAGGGGTCTAAAACGGCAGTGTTTTCTACAGCGATTATGAGAAGTAAATACAAATCAAACAAAAACTATATCCATAAGAAAACCCTTTTTTTTGACAAAAATAAATCAGACATAGTTCCAACTCACCAAATATAAAATAAACAACTAACTTTCATTAATGAGTGGTACATTTAAGCAAATTACTAAAATGAGCATTTGTGTGTTTGTACGTGTGTATGTTTGGCAGAGTTAGAATCACTAAGGATGTTGAAATCAGTCTTTTTCCCTACTATATGTTAAACATCAGGAAGGAATTGTTTGTTGACATGAAAAAGAGTGTATATCATGTTTTTGGAACTTGATTATTGGCGTATCTGGGGCTCACCATCTGTTTATCTGATTATCTATGGATTGTAGCAACCAGATTCAAATCAGTCGTTATAGTTAGGGGTGCAGGTTCATTTTTTAAGAGTCTGTAGTTCTGATTCTTTGGTAGAATTTGAGCCAAGCAAAGGACAACATTTCCACTAACTCCCATATCTGGTAGATCTGGTGGTGGTACGGCTCGCCATGTGTAGATTTTCAAGTTGTACAGAACACCATCTGCACCAGCCATATAAAATACCCTGCAGACTTGTATTTTTGGGTTTGGCAGGTATTGCTTCAGTCTTTGCCTGCCTTGGATTGGGACCATTTGTTCACTGATGACCAGCTCATCACTCTTTGGGACTGAAGCTAGTTTTGAGGATAAACAAACAATGAAATAAGGGTTGTACAGTGGATCCTCATGTTTTCATTGGGAATGACCCCAGTTTATGAACCATGCACCTTTTGTCCATGAAATGATCTTGCATCCATCTCCTGTTGCTGTTAGTCAATATTACAATAAAAAAAATATTGGCTGTGATAATTATTTTGTAATCAACTGCATATCAATGCACTAGAATAATATTGTCTGAACAATAGGGCCCTAACTGTGCAATATGGCTCTGAGGCAACAAACAAACAAAAAACACAGTTTTAGCATATAAATTATTTTTAAAACATTGTCTTGAAATGATCTCCAATGATTCTTTACATACTCACAGACATAAAAATATTTTTAGTTAGAGTCACCCAAAATTTAAACATGAAGAAAAGTGATGTATAACTTACAAGTAGGAGGCAAGGTGCAGCATGCAACTCTGCTTCGTAAAAAAGACTGCTCCTCTTCTAAGAAAAAGGTCACATTAACCTCAATGCTTCTTTTATTTGGACAAAAATATGTCCAAATAAAAGTCATCCCCTCAAAAAAATAAAATAAAGGAGCAACGTGAGGTACAGATATGTGGTTTGTTGCCTGAAGGCAACGCCATGACACAGAGGGTTGCAGAAATGTTTGGTGGAGGGAAAACCAGCTGGAAAGAAATGCAACCCTCGAGAGGATTATAAAGCAAGAGGTTGGGGAAGATTAGAAAAAGGCCGTTTGTCACTGGCTCTACTCTACACGGCCCGCTTTTTTACTGGTTTTTCCAGTCTGACACCTGCTTTTTTGGTCCTTACTCAGGAGCAGGAACCATCGGAGCTGAGCAGAGCATATAGGTGACATGAACAGACTGCTGTTCACTGATTGGCCATGAGGCGAGTCGAAATCCAAAGGTTTTCACTGAGGTAGCGTTAAGGGAAGTTAACAAAACTCAAGAGTGACTATAGTAATATTTAGAACCACAAAGCAAGAAGCGAGTAAAACCAATGTATTTTACTATTTAAAACTCAGCATTTTGGATTACACACCATTAATTAATCAGCTTCTTAGACCCATATACTGTTCTCCTAAAACATACAAAACACCACCACCATGAAATGGCTCATGTCGTAGACCTAATAGAAAAAAGGGTCCCTAACATAAATCCTCCTGCAGGGTTTTGTACTTTAAAGTCTGCTCACAAGTTCTTAGGCACTTTGAAACAACATTGGGGCCCAATTAACTCAGTTTTGGGATTACCAAAACAATATTATACTGTATTTTTTGCAAGCATGGTGCAACGATCCTCCTCTCAGCGAGTTTGGTACTCCGTGTGCCAATGGATTACAGAGAAACCCTAATCCTCACCATTGTCCCAACACAAAGCTTCCTCTTAAAGCCCGAAAATGTAACTTCTCCAGGCAAACATTGGCGCTTCACCAGACCAGACAGCAGCGCCTCTCCTCTCCGCTTCTCCTGCCACACCGCTTTAAGGTATAAACCCTGAGGATTTTATTGAGACTGGGCTGATCTGGGTTCCAGATTCTTATCGTAGTGGACAACATGTAGACAACTGCCTGCTATTATTATGAAAAGGGTTTTGTATTCCATCAGCACACCCCTAGTATGTAACCAAATGGTATGATCCTGCTTAGTTATTACACTGATTGTGTGAACAAAAGGAAATTATTATAGCATTCAATTAATAAATGGAGTGAATGGGACTTCTTTAGCTGAGTAGGATCAGGTGAAAGCTCTCCCTTCAATTTTTTATCGTCTATTCTATTCTATTCTATTCTATTCTATTCTATTCTATTCTATTCTATGTTGTTCTAAAATTGTTTCAAATTCATACCCAAAAACAAAACATTCAAGAAATATATGTTGTAGAGTTGCGACCTGCTTCGTTGTCCAGTTATAAAAAGCAGAATCACTTATAAAACACTAACAAACATAATCAAGTGTGCCTTAGAGTGTTTCCCCAATGTAATTAAGAGTTGTCTCATCAGCTCTGTGTCAGTAGAAGTCATTAATTAGAACCCTTGTTGTTTATTTCCCTTCTAATTTCACCTCCATTTATTGTAACCGAAACGCAGTGCTGCCACTGACCACTAGATGGCAGGAAAACCCTTATTATTGCCTCAGATTCGCAGAGTTAAAAATGTTGAATGTCTCACAGGACAGCAGTCCAATATATCACATAAAGACAGACCAAAGTGTATTTTAATGAAGAAAAAGATGACACATATAAATTGTGTTTGTGGAGAAGACTTGGAGAACCCCAGTGACTGTGTTTTGAAGAATCTCAGGTGATTTTCAGCCAACAACCAGAAACGTTGTTGTTCATTGCTGCGATGGATTAATGCATGTACTCTGACACTTCACATACATATTGTGTTTTATTTTTGTTTTTACAGGTTAAAATCTGAAAATTGTGATGCGTGTTTGTATTCAGTCTCCTCTGCATCAATATCCTTTTGGAAACACATTTTACCCCAGTCTCAAGTCTTTCACAGGTTTTCTTCCATGACAGCCCTGCATCTAGCTCCGCCCATCTTTCTATTGACTTTTGACCAGCTTCACGAGTCCTCCTGACAAAAATAAGTCCCAAACATGATTCTGCCACCACCATGTGTCACCATAGAGTTGATGTGTTTTGGGACTATGTGGCATTTTATTTATGCCTTTAATGAATCTGGGATTTTCCAGTTTTGCCATTCTCTTTCCATTTTTGGAAGAAAGACGGAACATCATAAAATGTCCAAAGCTTGTGATGTACCCTAACGCTCTTTCTAGTTCTCCGTAATTATATTTGGGTCGGTCAGTAAACAGAGAGCTAATACAAACACATGTCAAACTTTTCAGATTATCCCCCCCCCCCCCCCCCCCCCCCCTCGTTGGAGGAAAGGGGTGGACATGTTGGGTGTGGGATATATTTTGTTTCATAC